TGTTGTGGGGTTGTTAACCAATGTCATAAAACAATATGTGGACTACTGTTTCATGAGAAACTATTTGTTCTGTAAGCCTTCACCTGAAGTACAATTAAAAAAAACAAACAAACAAACAAATCAAAAAACAGTGTCTTCCTTACCTGAGCATAAATGTAGGAAATGCTATGTAAACAGAGTTAAAGAAATCATACAGAAGGCAAAGAAAGCTTAGATATAAAACATCTGACTACTTCTATTTGAGACTTGGGGTTCACATTTCAGGAAAAAATAAACAACTATTACCTTTGTCATAGCACAATACTTGATCATCTAATTCTCTTAGTGAAATCTACCTGAGACGGTTTCTTTTCTCTGCATAACCAGAGCAAAAACAGAATACAGTTCTTAATGTGGAAATCTATATTTGAATATCATTGAAACAGATTATTTGCTAATTTAGTATGGAAGAATTAATGTGCTCAATTAATCAAAATTCTATGCCAAGATTATACATCTCAGTTACCTTTAAGGCCAGCTCTGTGGAAAATAAAGTACTGCAGTAATCCAAAAGGATATATTATTGCACATGGCGCGTGTTCTGCGAATACTCATAGACTGTAGGTATCAATTTATTCTAAATTACTTCAGACAATTAGTTTATGTTACTATCAAAGTTGGAACCCCACTGAAAGAAAAAAAAAAGAAAACACTCTGTGGTGGCAGAGGGTGAAGGAAAGGTGTAAAGTATTATATTCTCTTGACATTTCTGCTATCTGTCAATCCCTGGATCTTAGCTTCAGTGACCTCCTGGCTTCATTCTTATTTAAATCATATCTGAATAACTTGTAAAAGTATCCTGTGATTTAAATTTGATGACAAAGAGAGTCAAGTGATTTTATATAATGACAGTATCATTGTTTTATTGGCTTGTTCATGAATTAAAAGCTTCCATTCCTTTTAACTATACCGCATTTCAAGTCAGTGGCCCACTTGTTTCGACTTCTTGTTTAAATTTCTATGGGAAAACTGAGTAGTTATTAACATTTAAAGGTTCTTGATAAATACTATTTGTCATGGATTGAATTGTGACCCCCCAAAGTATCTGTCAACCTGGCTGGCTCATAATTCCCAATACTGCATGACTGTGTACCATTGTGTAATATGATGTGATTTCCTTATGTATTGTAAACTCTATATATCATTATGATGTAATAAGATGGATTAGCGGCAGTTATACTGATGAGGTCTGCAAGATTAGATAGTCTCTTAAGCCAGTCTCTTTTGAGATATAAAAGAGAGAGGTGAGCAGAGACACATGGGAACCTCATACCACCAAGAAAGCAGTGCTGGGAGCAGAGCGTGTCCTTTGGACCTGAGGTTCCTGTGCAGAGAAGCTCCCAGACCAAAGGAAGATTGATGACACAGACCTTCCTCCAGGGCCAACAGAGAAAGTGTTCCCTTGGAGCTGATGCCTTGAATTTGGACTTGTAGCTGATTGGACTGTGAGAGAATAAATTTCTCTTTGTTAAAGCCATTCACCTGTGGTATTTCTGTTACAGCAGCATTAGATGACTAAGATAGAATTTGGTACTAGGAGTGGGGTGCTGCTCTAATCGATACCTAAAATGCAGAAGTGGTTTTGAAATTGTGAATGGATAGAGGGGTGGCAGCAGCAGAGGACCAGCAGCAGAAGCAAACCTGCAGCAGCAGAGAAGTGGCAGCAGCAGAACCAGAAGACCAGTGCCAGACAGCACTGGAGCTGACCCATGGAGTGAGAGAGTTGAGTGCCTGTGCACAGGAGGCTTCCTGGCAGAGTAGGGTGCCTCTGGGCACTTAGTTGGTGGAGGTACAGAGCTTTGGAACACTTCCAGCAGGCAAGATGTGGACATGAGGCCCGAGGGCCAAGAGGCCACAGGAAGCAGAAGCTGAAGAGACAAGAACACAAGAAGCCAAGCTGCCTCAGGCTCAAAAGTTGTAGCCAGGACCTCAGAGGTTTCAAAGGGTGGAGCCATGGCCTCTGGTGTTCCTAAGGGTGGAGTTGCCACTCAGTTGGACTAGGAGAATGGTGAGCCTAAAGCCGAGGGAGTACTGTTGCTGTTCCAGTGGGCCTGGAAGGTGGACTTGAAGCCCAGGGCCGAGGGGCCTCCACTCAGAATCTGGAGAGTATGGCCAATACCTAGAGTCTGGAGGGCAGGGTCATTGTGTAAATGGCCTCAGAAAACAGAGGATTATTTTCAAGCCTTGAGGGCTAATGTAATGTGTTCAGCTAACTTGCCTGGTGCCTGTTATGCCTTCTTTCCCACCAATTTCTCCCATTTGTAATGGAAATGTCTAACTTGTGCCTGTTCTGCCACTGTACCTTTGGAAGCAGATAACCTGTATTCTAGATTTCACAGATGAAGAAGAATTTTTGGATTTTGGACTTGGAGTTAAGACTTTTGCTATGATATGATGAGATGAATAGGTTTTGCATGTTGCAAGGACATGAATTTTTGGGGGCCAAACGGTGGAATGTCATGGATTGAATTGTGTCCCCCTAAAATATCTGTCAACTTGGCTGCTCATGATTCCCAGTACCGCATGATTGTGTATCATTGTGTAATCTAATGTGATTTCCTTATGTGTTGTAAACTCTATCACTATGATGTAATAAGATGGATTAGCGGCAGTTATACTGATGAGGTCTATGAGGTCTACAAGACTGGATAGTGTCTTAAGCCAATCTCCTTTGCAATATAAGAGAGAGAGGTGAGCAGAGACACATGGGAACCTCATACCACCAAGAAAGCAGTGCTGGGAGCAGAGCGCATCCTTTGGACCTGAGGTTCCTGTGCAGAGAAGCTCCCAGACCTAAGGAAGATTGATGACACAGACCTTCCTCCAGGACCAACAGAGAAAGTGTTCCCTTGGAGCTGATGCCCTGAATTTGGACTTTTAGCTGATTGGACTGTGAGAGAATAAATTTCTCTTTGTTAAAGCCATCCACTTGTGGTATCTCTGTCATAACAGCACTAGATGCCTAAAACACTATTGTAAACATTTAGGGGGTCCGAAGTGTGGAACCACTTTGCAGAAAGCCACTTGGTCTTTGTTCTGAGCTCTTTTGAGTCATACCAACACTGAGGCTAATGAATCAGGGGTGACCAGATCAAAAGGGATGGCCTGAGGGCTCGATGCTAAGCCTCACAAGGCATGATGTAATCTACCATGGTCATGTGGTGAGGGGATAAAGGCTGTGGAAGATGGAGGCTCAAAGAGCTTCCTGGTTGGTAAGAGTGAATATCTGCTCTCAGGACAGTAGCATGTCCCCTTGGAACATGGAAGCTCCATGCTGTGACTCCTCCCAGACCTCACCTTATATGTCTCTTCATTTGCATCCTTTTTTGTTACATTAAAGCTGTTATTGCAGGTATGGTGTCTCCTGTGAGCTCTGTGAGTTGTTCTACTGAATTATTAGACCCAAATGAGAAGGAGAAACTGGCTGGCCTAAAGTGGAGGGAGTTGCATGGACTCCTGAGCTTTTAGCTGGTACCTGCTGACCTGACCCTAGGTGGCTAGGGATGAGGGAAAAAGGGCTGGCTGGTCTGAAATGAAGGTAGTCATGCGAACTTCCAGGTTTGTGGCTGGTACCCGATGACCCATCCCCAAGTGGCTGGGGTATGAGAGAGAGAAGGGCTGTGTTGGTAGGTGGGTTCTGAACTGAACAGGGAAGGGAAGCTGAGATTTCCACAGGGCACAGCTGGTGTGTTGAGTGGAATTTATTATCTACCACACAATTTGGTTTCAGAAGTGGATGATCTTAGTCTCCCTGGACTCGTTTGCACAACTGGCATAGTTGGCAGGATTTGCCAAGGGCAGACCCTGACAGCACAGGGGGATGTATATATAAGCACCATTATACCAAACAAGGAAAAAAAAAAAAAACCCAAATATGTTTTGAAGCTGTTTTTATTACATTGCAAAATCCCAGAAAAGTATAAAGACATGAAGTTGAAGCATTTCAAAAAATAAGATAAAACATTTGCATACAATTTAATAATATTTTAGTTTTGATGTTAGAAATACTCATGATTTCACATTTACTCACACTGCTCATAAATTGTATGTTGTGAAGTATTGGGAAACTATCGCATATTTCTTATATTTGAACCCAAATTCCTAAAAATGGCTGAGTTATATTCTTTTTTCTAGAGATCAAGTTCAAGGTTCTACTCATAAGAAAAATTACTTTATTGATTGATTCATAATGCCTTTGAAGAGCAGAAATATGAAATAAGCACATATCACATATATGTCCCCCCCCTTTAGTTTAAGTGGTAGATCAGATCAAGGCTGAATTAATATAATAATCTTTAGTGTTTTTTTTTTTAAACGTATTATCTGTTTACAGGAGACCAATAAAAATACATTGATTCAGATGCAGAGAAGAGGTTTGATAATATCAGAATGATTCTCTATCATATCTGTGTTTTATATCCAAGTTATATAGATAAATAGGTAACGTTGAAATCCATGCTATTTCTATCCTAAAAATCAAATAAATGTATGGTTACATTCTAGCATCTTATTAAGAGTCATCAGGAAACAAGATATTTGCTACTTTTGCCAAATTCAATATAATGGGTCACCAGAGGCTATAAAGTTCACTTAACTTTTAATAATGTGGCACTTTTCAATGGCTTTGGGTCTTATCATACTTTCTGCTACTACTACTACCACTACCACTACCACCACTACCACTAAAATAACAGAAAAAGTAAACGAGAAAACAAAAGAAAATAAATTAGAGCACTTGATAGTTCTTCCAAATATTGTTTTGGTTCATCCTTGAATTAGAATCACTTCTCCAAGATTTGGAAAGAAAACAAAAGCATCTTTATAGTTCACAGCATGTATATTAGAGGTCCAATGATTTATCCATTGCCAGTGTGGGCTACCTTGTCAGATTCTCTTTACTCAATATCAACCGGTTCTGTAGCTATTAAAGCACTTAACTGTTTCTGGGCACAGGAGAGGAACAGTTCCAAACTGGACAGGCTTCTTTGGCGGATAACTTGATCAAGCTGTTGATTTTGTTATTAAAGAGAGAAAGAGAGAGAGAAAATACACTTAGTTGGGTGATAAAGAATATTATTTCACAGGAGTCCACTTGAAAGACCTTTTCAGATGATACAATTTAGAAAATCAAATTGTGCATTAAACTAAGTGAAAATTATGTCAATATTTCTAGCCTATCATCTATAGTAATCATAATTTTATAATTGATGCTGGCATTCAGTTATTGTAGAAATAAACCATGTGTTTGAACAGAATGATTCTGGAAAATATAAAACAGTATAAAAATGCCAGTTCTTAATGAATGTGCATGCCAAACATTCACAAAGATCACATAAATACCACAGATGCAAGTAACAGAAGAAATACGCAGTAAGGATAAATAGCATAATTACATCATGCACATGGTCCAACAGAACAAATGCTAAGTGAGGAAATCAACAATTTCCTGAAATTAGAGAAAAGTTCTTGGGGAAAATATATTATGGTGTTGAAAATTATTTGACCTGGTCCTCCTGCTGAGGTAGAGAGTTTCTAGGGTTGTTTTAATGTATCAGTAATAAATTCATATAGTGAGCAAAACAGGTGGTTTAGTAATTGAAGTCATTGGGGTTATATACAATAAAGAACTTTCTAGGAGATAAGGATTGTTGAATGTATCAAGAAAAATTTCTAACTCTTCTGCCCTAAAAAATATGCCCATAGTGTAAAAATAACCAATGAAAACATATTGCCCACAGATTATAGAACAATGGAGGAACCCAAAGGAAAGCCAAATAAATTCCATTTCACAATATATGCCTGTCATATTTATGTAAAAATTAAAATATTCTTTCTAGCAATCCCCCCTCAAAAAAGAAAAACAAAAAACAAAAACCTCAAATCAGAATTGTTAAGTTTCACTTCTATAATTCACTGATATTCAAAATAACTGAGACACAGGAAGATTATAATTTGAAGTATCTTAAGAGTTAATTTAAAAAAAAAACAAAACTATGCATTATGTTTAGCAGAAAGCCCACATAAAAAGACTCTACTGTATCTTCTGAGGATTTGCTGTTGCTATTCTAGTTGGACGTTAACATTCTTGCACTCAAACTGCAGAACTGTGTCTCCCCCACAGTATGCAGTACCTGATATCTCTGCTGTTTTTATGGTATCTAGATGCTGCTTTTCTAGCCTGGTCCTTGCGGGTGTTGGGAGTCTTCCCTGCATGTGTGTAATTTGGTCGGTTAACGGTTTTGGCAGAGTATAGATTTTGGGACTCATCTTCTCTGAGGTCCCCTTACATGTATGGATTCCTCTTCAATTTCCAGCTACTCTGCTAGCCTTGGGCTTTGTCCTATGACACCTCAAGCCAATAAAGCTTTATGCTGCCCAAGCCACCTATGCTTAGAGAACGTACTCAGTTAAAAAATCAGCAAACTTACAGCTCTCAAGAGTAGGTCCCTCTCTAGTCTCTGCTGCTTTTTCGCCTGTCTCCCTGGGATCTTGCTTGCACACGCACAGTGTAGCTTTGAGCCTGGGCTTTGGGCAGAGCTTATGCTCAGATTTTGGGTCTCACTCCTGTAATTTTCTCCTTTCCAGGATTCCCCATTTACATTTCCAGTTGCTCTCCTAGCCCCAAAGTCTCTTTCCCATCAGAAATACTGTAGTATTCTGCTGGTCATTTTCTGCTGCCATAATCATAAGAAGTGGGAGTCCTCCCAGGCCAGAAAGCCACAAACTTTCAGTCCTCACGCCTTCCAGTTGCAGTTTTCAAGAATATACTCTCCTCTGGCTCCTCTCGACCTTTGGATACTTTCTGGCATTTAAAGATAGATTAAAAAGATTATTTGTCCCAGATCTTATAACTGTTAACTGTGGGAAGACTCACACAACCATTTTATTCCATCATCATTACTAGAAGTTCTTCCTATCTCATTTTTAAAAAATTGCTTAACTGTATCCATAGTTTATTAGCCACTCTCCTGTTGATAAGCATGTAGGTTTATTCTGTTTTGTTGTTTTTATAGTAATCAGGCACTTTCCAGCCTTGAGTGCACTTTCTTTAGAACATGTTCAAAGGTTTCTCTTGAAGAGATTTCAATACATGAAATTTCTAGGTCATAAGATTTGCATATAGTAAATGTGTTAGATATTGCCATACTGATTTCCAGAAGACACCAATTAATCAGTCCCATCTGCAGTGTGTGAGAACGAGATTCCTGTTTTTTAAGCATCATTTCCCACTGTATATTTCCAATTTAATATATATAACAGACATTTTAATATCTATTTTAAATGTCTTGTACTGATAGGCATTTGGATAGTTCCTAATCTTTTGCTATTATACTCAATGCTGTAATGAGCATCCTTCAACAAAGATCTCTGTATATACATGCTAGTATACCTTGTAGAAACTGTTTGAGCCAAATAATATGTAATCTGCAATGCTAATTCTATCATGAATCAAGTTTCCAAATATGCATGAATTTCCCTTTAGGCTATACATGGATTAACACAGTGGCTGCAACAATGGGCTCAAACATCAACGATTGTGAGGATGGTGCAGGACCAGGCAGTGTTTTCTTCTGTTGGACATAGGATCACTGTGAGTTGGAACCGACTCAACGACACGTAACAACAACATCCTATTCCCTTGGATAATTTACCTACCCCTGCGCTAATATAATCCTGTGTTAATTACCTCAGCTTTATAATAAAAACATATGGCATATCCCCAATATAAAATATTTCAACAGAATGTAAGTGAGTGAACACTTCTAACAAAATAGTCAAAAAATGAAGTGATCAGATTACAGGCAGTGTGATACTTTTTTTTTCATAAAGCACAAAAGAAACATGCAAAATTCAAAAGCGTATCATTTTGAGTTACATAAATGCAATAAAACATTTTTTTAAGTTACTGCAAAATACATGTAACACACAATTTGCCATTTTAACCATTTTTAGATGTACATTTCAGTAGCTTTAACTGCATTAACAATATTGTGCAACCATCACTATTATCTATTTCCAAAACTTTTTCATCAACCCAAATGGAAACTTTGTACCCATTAAACAATAACTCCCCATTTCACCCTTTCTTCCTGCCCATGGCAACACTAATCTACCTTCTGACTCTATAAATGTGTCTATTCTAGATATTCCATATAAATCATACAATATTTGTCCTTTGTGTCTAACATATGGTTTTCAAGGTTCATCTATGTTGTAGCAGGTATCAGGACTTCATTACTTTTTATGGCTGAACAATATTCCATTGTATGCATATACCACGTTTTGTTAATCTATTCATCTGTTGATGGACACTTGGGTTGTTTCTATCTTTTGACGATTGTGAATAATGCTGCCGTGAACTTTAGTGTATAAATATTTGAGTCTCTGTTTTCAATTCTATTGGGTAAATATGTCCTAGGAATAGAATTGTTGGGTCATATGGTAATTCTATGTTTAACTTCTTGAGGAACTGCCAAACTGTTTTCCACAGTGGTTGTACTATTTTCCATGCCCACTAGCAACGCACAGGGGTTCCAATTTCTCAGCATCCTTGCCAACACTTGTTATTTTGTGGTTTTCTCATATTAGCCATCCTAACTGGTGTTAAGTGGTATCTCACTATGATTTTGATTTGTGTTTCTCTATTGACTAATGATGTTCAGCAGCTTTTCATGTACTTATTGGCTGTTAATATATCTCTTTTGGAGAAATGTCTACTCAAACCTTCTGCTCATTTTAAATTGGATTGTTTGTCTTTTTATTGACAAGTTGTACACATTCTTTATGTATTCTGGATACTAAACCCAAGTCAGATATATGATTTACAAATATTTTCTCCCATTCTGTTTGTTGTCTTTTTGCTTTCTTAAAGCACACAAGTTTTTAATGTTTATGAAATTCAATTTATCTACTTTTCTTCTGTATCTTGTGCTTTTAGTGTTGTATCTAAGAAACCACTGCCAAATCTAAGGTTATGAAGACTTACCCCTATGTTTTCTTTGAAGAATTTTATAGTTTTAGCTCTTATATTTAGGTCACTGATCCATTTCAAGCAATTTTTGTATACAGTGTGAAGTACGAGTCTAACTTCATTCTTTTGCATGTGGAAATCCAGTCTTCCCAGAATCATTTGTTGAAGAGATTTATCTTTCCCCACTAAATGGACTTGGTTGTAAAAAATCAAATGGCCATTAATGTATGAGTTTATTTCTGTACTCTCAATTTTATTTTATTGGTTTACTTGTCTATCCTATGCCACTGCTGAAGTTTTGGAGCAAGTTTTGAAATCAGGACATGTGAGTCCTCCAAGTTTATTCTTCTTTTTCAAGATTGTTTTGACTATTCAAGCCCCTTACAATTCCATATGAATTTGAGGGTTGGCTTTTCCATTTCTTCAAAAAGGCTGTTGGAATTTTGATAGGGATTGTACTGAATGCGTAGATCACTTTGGGTAGTACTGGTACCTTAATGATATTAAATCTTCCACTCCATGAACACATGATGTCTTTCCACTTATTTAGATCTTCTTTAATTTCTCTGATAAATATTTTGTACTTATCAGTGTACAAGTGTTTCAGTTCCTTCGTTAAGCTTATTCCTAGGCATTTTATTCATTTAGATGTTATTATAAATGGAAACATTTCTCTTTAAGAGAAGGAAAGCATGCAATCAAAACCAAAGACATTGTATCTGGAGGGTGGAGTCACGCAGGCTAAGATACACACATCCAGTTTGGATGTGGCTTCATGGATGTTTGTTTTACTATTATGCTTCATAACTTATGTACGGGTATTACAGATGTTATCTTTAATGACTCAAAGTCATTCAGAAATTCCACAAAACAGTCAAGAGTTCCATTAAAAACAAATTTGATTTAATAGATTAGAATTTATGGACATCAGATAAAGGAGAAACTTTTCTCCCTGTGAGAGCATATAACACAAACTCACAATCTGTAACAAACTTTCAACCTGTGATTTCTAATTAGTAACATAATAATCTGGAT